TAAGTTTAAAAAATGCAAAACTCGGGTATTTAGTTAATTAATTAAAAATATTTATTAATTATGTCACAATTATACAATTAATGAACATATATACATTATAGGTCACAATTTATTTATTGGTCACATATTATCAAATTAATTAGTTAACGATGATTTCAAGGTCACAAATTCAAAAAATTATAGGTCACGGTTAATTTCATTAGTTACATATTTTCGAATTTGTTGGTCACAAATTATTTTTCAGTCACATATTATCAAATTTTTAAGTCACGGACTCACGGTTAAATACTTGGTCACAGATAACCAAATAATTGGTCACATACCATTGACACTACCACTTCAACCACTTTTGACCACCCTCACCCCGCCGTCGCTATCACCACAACGGTCTCACGACAACCAGTACAAACACCACCATCGCAACAACCACCAACACGACCACACAAAACACTACCACCGCCGCCGCATCCAACCACACAACACACCACCACCGCCGTCGCATCAAACCACATAAAACACCGCCACCGCCGCCGAATGACTATCAACACCACCAACAACAGATCTACCAACACACAGCCACACACCAATAACAGATCGAACAATAACAAAACCCTAATCTTCATGCTCGTCGGAACGTGAATATATCAAACTAGAGCAGTAGATCTAGAGCAAAAATGAAGCAAAGAAGAACATTGCAGTAGCAGATCCAGCAATCGATACTCTATTTAAAGCAGCAGCGTTGGGTGAGGAGTTAGGAGTGGCGCCATCGGGTGTTGAAGTAATAGATGGAGGATTAGCGGCGGGAGAAGTGAGAGGTGCAGGAGGATAAGACAATGGAGATTCAGAGGGTGATGAACTTGTAGAGAGAGACGAGGGAGAGAAGGGGAAGGAGGGAGAAGAGAGATGAATTAGGGTTTTAATATAATGCCTGATTTTTGAATAAATAAATTGTAGATCTGATTTTTAAAATCCAATCTTTGAACACCTGATTTTTTGTAATTTCCCTAAATTTTATCACATACCTTACATCAAAGCCCATGTACAAGTTTGTGAATCCACTAACAATAATACATATCCTATCATGGCAATTTAGCGACATGCCACGAGGATGTATGTATCTTTCTTAATCGACTTTATCTTCTTTGTTGAAAAGATGCACATTGTAAGTGATAGAATCTATATTTGACTTCGAGTAGTTAGTCAAGACTGCTTTAATTTTTGAATCGTTTTGTTTAACATGTCCATATTGTCCATGCTTGATGGAGATTGTTCTACCTTTCAAACTACCGAGCAATCCACACTAAGCTCCTATTTGGTGGTCTTTTTTTTGAAAAAATATTGTTTTTAATAGTGGATTTTTGGATAATGTGTGGTTAAAAAGTAGTGAAAAGTTTTGGGTTGACGCGTAGAATATTTTATTGTGTGAATGTGAGAAAAAATAGTTTTGAAAGAATGAAAGACAAACATCGGCTAAATCAAAACATTCCTGACTCATATTTTCATAAGAATGGAGTAACATCTCGCTCACCTAAACCTCAAAATACCTATGAACAATCTCCGGCCGATCCTTACAAAACACTATCTAGTCGAAAATGAGGAAGAAAATTATTATTTTCACCCCGATTCTATCTCTTTCTTCCCTATATTTGGAGTCTTTTAATTGTGTTGTATCGGAATTTTCATTTTTTATTTTGATACGGCCATCCCAAACTTTTGTAAAGATATGCGGTTATGAACCTTTGGATGGATTTCATTCAAAAATACATCAATTGACCAAACATGCAGCTCTTGACTTTCAGTTTATCATTCTTAAGAAGGACAAAATGGTCTCTTCACATTTCATTAATTAAAAAAATAAATTAAATTAATAATAGGAACAAATAAATCTTTTTTTTTTGGAATTGTGAATGTTTGAGGATCCATTTGCAAATTCCCTTCTATTCCGAGACAACTCATCGATTAATATAAATTACAAAATTAAAGCAAAAGAAACTTTAATTTGACTTTGATTTTAATTTGGTTATCGACAAATCTTTGCAGATTCTGCGTATCAATTGTAAAGGGATAGAATAGAAAAATAATCAAAATAATTGTGGGAGTGTTTCCCATTTCACATTATTTTATGCACTGATGGCCGAAAAATTCGCGTATGAAATTATTAATTTATTACAGAAGAATTAGGAAATCATGCATTTCAGGTCATATGGCCCGGCCATATAGCAGCTCTCTTTCAGCTATAGTACTATTGGTTGAAGTGTCCCCTACTTTACTTTTCTTATAAATTTAAACTTAATGCAATTATTTGATCATATTCTTCACATCAGTACGCTTCATTTGATGTTGTTCAAAATCAGATATTTAATAAATTTAATAAAAGATGATGAAGGTCGAAAAGTTATAGACCCCAGGAAATGAGTGATTCAAATTAATTGTTGAATTTTATTTAATTTTTGATCTATTGTTTTTAGTTAAACCATTGCTATTTTTAATTTTATTCAAAATTATTTCTAAGACTTGGAAGCTATTTTTAAATCCATTTGAATAATTTTCTAAAAATATTTTATCTGGTTATAGCTGCCTAAGTTAATTTCTCCTGATAGCTCTCCCATAAAAAAAAACATAAATAAATACGAAATCTTGTCAAAGTGCTTGGAAACACTCCTCAATTATACACAATGCCAAATTGAAATACTATCACCGCAATTGGATGATTAAAGGGTAATTAGCAAAAAAATATCCCTGTCGTTTTCACTCATTGCTGAAATAGTCCCTATCGTTTTAAAATCGACATTTACACCATTATTTCGAACATTCCTTGCAGGATTGATCCTTTCTATCATGTTCTGTTAAATCATTCCCTAAAATATGGATAATGGACACTTAGATCTACCTTTATTTGCATAAAAAGTCCTTATCATCTATTTTTCTATTAAAACATTGTAAAATAACTAATTTATCTTCCTCTTTAAATAATCGAATAAAAAGGAAAGAAATAATATAAAAAAATTGAATCTAGAATTTCAATTTTTTTTTTTTTTAAAAAGTGCAAATGAATATCATTTAAAACAATTTAAAATATTCTAGCAACAGAAAAATATTGTTTCTTTCCAATTAATCCACTTACTCGTCCATCCAATACTCTCCACCACCACCAAAATAATTGAAAAAAGAATCAAAAATAGAAAAAAAAATATGCTTTTCCTCGTTCAATTCTGCACCAAGCCATCAGGCACCACCTAGTGGTGACAATCGAGCCGAGCGGCTCATCGGCTAGGTCGCTTGGATAGTACTGTAGCAATCCACGAGTCTCTCGGCCTGGCTCTTACTA